GTTTGTTGGCTATGGTGATGAAGAGTACGGGTTTAGGCTCTATGATCCTGAGAAGCAGAAGGTAGTGAGAAGTAGAGATGTCGTGTTCTTCGAGCACGAGAAGGGAGCAGAACTTTTGGGTGTCAGGTATCATACTTACTCTGATTCATTTATTGATACTACTGATGTTTCTTCTGTTCCTACTTCTGTTTCTGTTGAACAGCCATCATATGATGATCTTGATACAACACATGATGGTGTTGAGAATATGCAACCCGATGATGATGATGACGGTGATGTACCACCGTTTGATGATGCTTTTAATGATGCTCAAGCAAATAATGAAGAGGTTCATGAGCAGGGGGAGCAAAATACCCCGCCAGATGATGATGTTCTGATTAGGAGGTCAACGAGAGATCGTAAACCTTCTACAAAATATCCAAGCACAGACTACATCTTAGTTACTGACGAGGGGGAGCCTGAGAGTTTTCAAGAAGTGCTGACTAGTGAAGAAAAAGATCTTTGGCTCGAGGCTATGAAAGAGGAGATGGATTCCTTGAAGAAAAACAATACTTATGAGTTAGTGAATCTTCCCAGAGGCAAGAAAGTCTTGAAAAACAGATGGGTTTTCAAGAACAAGAAAGATGGTGAGAAGATAGTGAAGCGGAAAGCTCGATTGGTGGTCAAAGGATGTAACCAGAAAAAGGGCATTGATTTTGATGAAATCTTCTCCCCTGTTGTCAAGATGACTTCTATTAGAACTGTTTTAGCAGTAGCCGCAAGTCTTGATCTTGAGTTGGAGCAGCTTGATGTAAAAACTGCTTTTCTACATGGTGACTTGCATGAAGAGATCTACATGGAGCAACCCGAAGGATTTGAAGAAAAGGGGAAAGAGAAACTTGTTTGCAAGTTGAAGAAGAGTCTTTACGGGCTTAAACAGGCACCAAGGCAGTGGTATCGGAAATTTGATTCGTTTATGACAAGCAATGGTTATAAACGGACTTTTGCAGATCCTTGTGTGTATTTCAGAAAGTTCCCAGGTGGCAACTTCATTATCCTTCTTTTGTATGTAGATGATATGCTGATAGTTGGGCAAGATTCAGTGATGATTGACAACTTGAAGAAAGATTTGTCCATGTCATTTGATATGAAAGATTTGGGTCCTGCAAAGCAAATCTTAGGCATGGAGATTGCTCGTGACCGGAAGGCTAGAAAGTTGTGGCTTTCTCAAGAAAAGTATATTGAACGTGTGCTTCAAAGGTTCAATATGAAGCAAGCCAAGCCGGTTAGTACACCACTCGCATCACATTTTAATCTTAGTAAGAGAGCTTGTCCTACAACAGAGAAGGAGAAAGCAAGTATGTCCAATATTCCTTATTCTTCTGCTGTTGGTTCTTTGATGTATGCTATGGTGTGTACAAGACCCGATATTGCACATTCTGTTGGTTTGGTGAGCAGATACTTATCTAATCCGGGTAAGGTACATTGGGATGCAGTGAAGTGGATCTTCAGATACTTGCGTGGCACTTCCAAACTTTGTTTGTGTTATGGAGGTGGCAAACTAGTTCTTGAGGGGTATACAGATGCAGACATGGCTGGTGATCTTGACAGTAGAAAATCTACCTCAGGTTATGTGTTCACACTTTCAGGGGGAGCCATTTCATGGCAATCTAAATTACAAAAATGTGTGGCTTTGTCGACTACTGAGGCTGAATATATAGCAGCTGTGGAAGCAAGTAAGGAAATGCTTTGGTTGAAGAGGTTCCTTCAAGAATTGGGTTTGGAGCAAGGTGAGTATGTAATATTCTGTGATAGTCAGAGTGCTTTAGATTTGAGCAAGAATTCCATGTATCATGCTCGAACCAAACATATTGATGTTCGGTATCATTGGTTGCGGAATGTGATTGAAGAAAAGTTGATGAAACTGAAGAAAGTTCATACAAACAAAAACGGTGCGGACATGCTAACTAAAGTGGTTCCAGGAAGCAAGCTTGATATTTGTGGCAAGCTTGCAGGGATGAGCTTCAAGTGGTGATTGAAGAGTGTTCGTCTTCCCCGTGTTGGGCTGGAGGGGGAGATTGTTATGGGTCCAGCCCATATTTGCAATATCTTATATTGCTTTTGTTGTTTATGTTTTGGGCCTTGTTTGAAGGATTTTTATGTCCTATATTTTGGGTCCATTTGATATTGAGTTTTGGGCTTCTAAAACATGTTTTTAGAGTCCAACTTGCTGAAAAATATCAGGTTGGGAAGGCTGAGAAGTCCGGGAGAAGCACACACGCAAAACAGAAGTTTTGGGGACAGATTTTCGGATTTTCGACCTGCAGTACACTGCTTTGTTCAGATCGTCGATCGGAGGTCTTCCCGTGGTCGGATTTTGCTGAAATTTGGACAGCTTGTTCGTGACTTCAAGGGCTTCATTTTGAACGGTCGGATTGTTCAGTTGAGCTCTGGTTTGGTCAAAATCACTGCACGAACAGACCTGCAGTTTTTTGGGTGATTTCTACACCTTATTGTGCTATTTCAATCTCTTATTGTTATTGGTGATTGTTGGTGGGCTGTGAACCCTTTGTAGACTGATTTGGGGTTCTTTTACCCTCATTTATCAATAAGAGAATTAAGGGTGGACTCCTCAAGAGGTCCCGTGGTTTTTTATCCTTCACATTGAAGGGTTTTCCACGTAAAAAATCTTGTGTGCTCCGTGTGCTTTATTTCCGCTCTTTGTTGTGCTTTATATTCTGCAATTGTGCTGGTTTTGTGTGGTAATTGGTTGTGTGTCAGTTTGGGTTGCTCATTTAGTTGATTGTCTTGAGGTTGTGACTTTGTGGGTGTTATAGAGACACCTTATTTGATCCCTACAATAAGAAATACGTAGTAAGAAAAATACGAACAATAATAATTAAAGTGTGCTCACCGGAACTTCTTAGAAAGACTGGTTCTATAAGAATAAGAATATAAGATCAATATAAACTCGACATGTCAATCCCTTAAATAATACGTACGAAGTACTTTAAAATAGAAAGGAGAGCACAGATTTGAATAAAGTCATTTCCGGTTTTGAATCATCTTTATATTTTCTTTTTTGGACCGTCCCATATTAAACATTACACTTCTTTATTTTTCTTATTTGGCAAACAAATCTACACAAAACAGTGTCAAACAGTGCTTGATGAATTATTTACCAGAGGAAATAAAATATGCGATCGGTGTGATGAATTATTTGAAAATGGTGGATTGATGCTTTCATAATGCATGCATCGATCGTATATAAAATCTTGTTGACTATATCCATCACAGTAGCAAGTGTAGAAAGAAATTTTTCAAATCTGAAACTTATAAACATTTTTACGATTAACCATGTCTAAAAAGGTTGAATGAATGAGTTATGTTATCAATTGGGATGGAATTTATAAAAAGCCTAGATTATGGCTAATTGTTTAATACTTGGAATATTATCAGTCTAGGACCCGAAAGTTGAACTTACTATCAATTTAGGACCCGAAAGATAATTTCAATCAATAAGGGACCTGAAAGATCATAATTTATCAATTCACGACCTAAAAATTTAACGCGGTTAGTTTGTCCCTAACGGAATATGACGAAGCTCATCATCGCATACAATTATTAAAAAACAGAGTCGCATATATAAAGAAACAAATACTCCGATCAATCACTGCAGCGGCCCTTTTATTAACATAGAGAATCCGTTTCTTCACAACTGCATCTTCACAAAGTTGAGAGAATTTTATATATCCAGATGAGCATTTCACCTTCACAAGCTCTTTTTATTTTTACATAATTCTGCACATTCTATCAAACAAGAAAGCTACAAGCTCTTTTTATTTTTACATAATGATGCAAATTCTATCAAACAAGAAAGCTTGGGACTGTAATCATCATATTTAATCATTAACAGGCTTATCTAAGATTAGTGAAAATCAATTTCTACATAAATTAACATATCGGAGTGTAAAGAATGAACGATTACTCTCTTTAACTAGCTATGTAACTTTCAGCCATTTCTAATCACATCTTCTCTGTAGTTCCATGGTTTAAACTATTGCACAATTTCCATAAAAATAAAGCATTAAGAACTTCAAAAAGTAGGCAATCTTTCAACCGATCATTGATTATTCACCAGAGAATCAAATGGTTAGTAATAGTAATTGCAAAATTTACATGTGAAGAAAGCTTTGAAGAGCTTCTCCTTGCTGGCCGCTGCATTCTCTAGCCACTGCAACAAAATAATAGGTGAGGAAGAAGAGGTTCGATTAGTAAGCTCCAAAAGCGACGAACTTTGAAGCTGAGGGTGCCTGGAATTAAAAAGGAGCCTGGCGAGATAAATGTTTCAGGTAGATTGTTGAGAGTGAGTGATTAAAAAGTTTTGAGGACGGTTGGTAAGAATGAAATACAGGAAGATGAAATGAGTGACATGGTGGTTTTATAAATCATACATGCGGAGTAATACATTTTAGGCGTTACGTCATATTCTTTTAGGGACAAATTAACGGTGTTAAATTTTTAGGTCCTGAATTGATAGATTATGGTCTTCCGGACCCCTTATTGATTGAAATTATTTTTCGAGTCCTAAATCGATAGTGAGTTAAACTTTCGGGCCCCTTATTTTAATCAAAGACTACATATAGGGGCCTTTTAAAAAGTTTGGCTCAGGCTCAAGTTTGTGTAAGATCGGCACTGAATGACCCATACGGGGATTATCCTTTATTTTGCTTCCCCTAAAAAAATAACTTTGATTCATATATTCAGCTAACTCCCTAAGGGCCATGATGCGCCTTTTCCCGTAATTCAGAATCTATTATCAGTGTTTCAGTTATTCTGCATCAATATTTGTATGTTGCGCCTACCAATATGCTTCTGATTCTGCCACATTCACCTTTTATGTTGTGTGATTCATGATTTTTGCCATTAGTATGTCAATTCCCGTAACATGAATACGTAGTTTCATTCAAATTATGAGCCAATATCATTTTTGACGTTGTTATTTTTCGTTTTTTTTGTAGTTATCCATATGGATCCAGTTATTTTAATCATGCTGAATTTGGATGGTAGCTGGGACAGTGATTACAATTTTAATTGTAATGACAAATTTGGTATGCACATCCGTTATTCTGCCAAATTTGGTGAATTTGTGTCTGAACTTTCTTCGATACTAATTAAATACAAATCTCATAACCATTTCTCATTGTCTTATATGGTTGATCAATGTCCTCCACCGGTATGTATCCATGATGAGGAAAGCTTCCGTTTCTTCCTTGATCTTAAGCTTCTTCAATATGATATTCACAAATACCCGTTGTGTGTGGAATTTCCAAGCGATATTGCCTATCCGCGCATCGCTTCTGTATCACACGCTGATGTGTTTCACAGTCCTGTTTCATCACAAGAAACATGTCCTAATCCCCACCATTCTGCCATTACGACCAACTCTAAAGAGGGTAATTATTCCAATGGTGATGACCATGTACAGAATGCTACAGACTGCATTCCTCTTGCTGAATGCAATGATGATTCATATTCAAGCCCCTGTTCTGACTCTATATGGCCTCCATCACCTCGTTCCCATTCATCTTCTTCTGAGATATATTATCTTCATCAAAATTCCGAAGTGATCACTCATTATCATCCCACTCAGATAACTGTCGACGATATTTATCAGTCTAAGGCAGACCTTATCCACCACTTAATGTTGTACGCCATAGATAATGGTTTTCAATACACAACGCGCACATCAAAGAAAACTCAGTTGCACGTTGTTTGTAAAGGTGAGGAATGCAAATGGGCTGTGAGGGCAGTTAAGCTACGTGGGGTCCAAATGTTTCAAATCAGAAGGTATGTTTCCATCATTTTTTAGAAATTGGATGAAATAATTGTAGTATATTATTCCATATTAGTGGCAAATTATTCCAAGTCTGGGCAGTTTGTTCATTATGTGCTTTGAAACTTGTTACAGGTTTGATTCATCCCACTCATGTTCGGTCGATTACAGGCAAGGGAAGCATCGCCAAGCAACATACCGCACTGTTGCAGAACTCATTTCCCATAAGTACTTGGATGCTTCTAGAAAACCATATGTACCAAATGAGATACGTGATGACATGAGGCTCATGCATGGCATCTCCATGTCATACAAGAAGGCATGGAAAGCTCAAAAGTTGGCAATGCAAAAGCAATTCGGATCAGATGCTGAGTCTTATCAGATTTTACCTTCGATGGCGCATATGCTCAAGAATGCCAATCCAAGTTCATTTGTGGATGTTACAACAGATGATAATGACGTGTTTCGTTATTTTTTCATGTCACTTGCACCTTGGAGGGATGCATGGAATTTTTGCAGACCTATTCTAATTGTAGATGGATCGTTTATGAAGGCGTACTACAAAGGAACGCTTCTAACGGCTTGTGCACAGGATGCTAACAATCACATCGTCCCTTTGGCGTTTGGAATTTGTGATACCGAGTCTAAAGCGTCTTGGGTTTGGTTTTTTTCAAAAGTGGCTGAATCACTAACATTTCGTGAGGATATGTACATTATATCTGACAGGCATGAAGGTATACTCGGTGCTGCTAAACAGATTTTCCCCCATGCTGGCCATGGCTATTGTGTTGAGCACCTTCGGCGTAATATGGTATCCAAATTCAGGGGGAATGCCACTGACTTAGGTTGGAAATTCAAGGCTGCATATAACGCTTCAACAATCAAGGAATATGAAGAGTATATGGCGCTGATGGATTCTCAAGACGTCCGCATACGACCTTGGCTAGAAAAAATTGGTCCTCATAGATGGGCAAAGTGTATGAGTGGGTCACGGCGATACGATGTGATGACCTCAAATTGTGCAGAGTCAATGAACAATGTCAGTGTTTGTGCAAGGGAGTATTCTGTTTCCAAACTTATTGACTTTCTTAGGGAACGAATGCAAAAGTGGTTTGTTGAAAGAAAGGAAAAAGCTGAAAAGACTCAAACTATCTTGACAAAGAAACGGGAGAAGCATCTGGTTGCACTTCAAAGTCAAGCTGCTAAGTTGAAGGTTTTTATTTAATCTCAATGTGCTAAACATTTATTCCACAATATTCTCCCTATTTTAATTTAACATAAATATTGCACAACATTCAGGTTGTTTTATTTTCATTTAATTATTCCACATACTTGGCATTTCTTCCAAGTCTGCTATCCTCCATCCCTCTAGCAACCTTCTACTCAATCACATTCATTTACTGAAACTTTCAAAATACTAATGCTTATCCATTATAATTTCAGGTCAAGCCTACATCATATTTTGAATTTGAAGTTGTTGATAGGCATTGTCGCTGATTTGTAGTTGACCTTCAGGCTCGAACATGCACATGTGGAGCGTTTCAACTTAATCACTTTGTTTGTGTCCATGCGGTTGCTGCCATTGGTCTCCGCCCACGTGAATCTTGTTATGATTACATTTCCAAGTATTACACACGACAATTTTGGCTTTCCACATGGAGCGGTGTTATGCACCCTGTATGTGATAGAGATTCTTGGGTGGTGCCTCCCCATATAGCCAGTATTCGATGTAAACCCCCATCATGTACGAAAAGACCCCCTGGTCGTCCGAGGAAGTCAAGGATACCTTCAGTTGGTGAGCATCGTGGGACAAAACGCCAAAGATGTTCTAGGTGCCACATCGTTGGTCATAATAAGAAGACTTGTCGCAATCCAATTCCAACAATAACTCATTAGTCATAATTTTATATTTGTTCCTATTTCAGTTTTCAGTCTTATGAACACGATTGAACTCATTGCTTTCAAAGTATTTATTCATAGACATGTCCTTGTTAATGCTAAAAAAAATCAATTACTAGTTATACTTCATGTAATGTGTCTTCCATTTACTCTGCAATGCTAAATTCCCTTTATTTTAAGCAATTAATTGAACTAAAGTTGGTTATGGGATTATACTGTTTGTAGTGTGATACATAAACCATGTATATTGCAGATTTATTTTCCATGTTATTGGCATATTTATATACCAAGAATCATTGACATGCATTTTTCAACATAATCCAACCTATAACTCTGTCTTCTGGCGTTCACCATTTTATGTAAAAATCTGATAATCATAGCATCTTCGGTTTATTTTGTTTGTTTTAATATTTTAATGCCACTTCCTCATGTCCTTGAAAATTATTTCACTAGTTCCACAAAACAGGCATTTGCCACAACATCTCACACTCAATCTTCATATACTGCTAATTACTTGAACGTTCCAACCACAATTAGACTCAAATACAAACATATTGCCTCCTTTCCAGCCAAATTATGCCATCACAATTCATAAAACTCCTACCATTACATTCATTAGAAATCTAATAACAGTAATACTTAATTAACCATAGTGCAATTCCACCTAGTCATAGCAGATATATAAAAAAGTGTAACATTATATCAAACCTTAAACCAAAATTATAAAAACCACAAGTCCTAGCTTAATACCAAAATGATAAAAATCACAACTTTTCCATTTTGTTTTTTTAAATAAAATGCACTAGCTTCTGTATGCTCTCTAGCTTTTTGCGTCATTCAGCTCCTCTGTTCTCTTCTTGCTGTACAAGATGAGCTCTGTTGTCATTTTCTCCCTATACATCGTCATGTCCTCGGGATCTATTTCTTCAATATCCATGCCCATGATCAAGAACTCTGCAATCTTCAACACAAACATACCACAGTTTCCCCTGTCATGAATCAACACCATATAAATAACTATTCAATTAAAATATAATGTTCATATCTCCAACAACAAATATGTCTTACCCATCATTTTGTTGTGGACATTCTTTTACACCTTCCACCTCTATTTTTCTCTCTCTCATTGGTTCTTCTCCGATGTCTTCATAGACTTTGTGCACATCCATGATCTTCGGGAGCAAGCACTGTAGACTTGGAAGATGTTGCCTGACTTCCCTTATAGCTTCCCCTCTTCTGCTCATAGAATTATACACCTTGATCTTTCTCTGTCTGACCTCCAACACAAGCAACACCCAATGATGTCCGGTGTTTAGGGGCATATACACGAAGTCCGATTCTGCCCAGCTCAGTGCATATGTGCTTGTACTGCCTACAATATGGCTCTCTATTACAGACATTTCAGCTGCCTTTTGAAAACTTGACTGTGAAGTCTGGATTTTTTCATGCTCACGTTGAAGGGCTTGTAAGAAATACGGGCTGCATGTAGAATACGGGAACTGGAGCTTATACTGAAACTGTTTCATCCCAAGGTAGAACATTCCTACTTCAATATGCTGCACAGAACACCGCAAGTCATTATAAACCACTACAAACATAAATTACATTATTATTACATATAAACAACGAAGTGAGGTTCAAACGCACCGTTGCATCAAGCCATTCTGGGTTCACAAACAGCTTGTAGAGCCATGTTTTATACTCTATTTTTACATTGTCCAATAACATCGGCAGACCATTCATGGTTTCATGATCCTTTCTGTATTTATTATCATCATTTTTCTTATTCTTCCGTTTTAATAATCCTGTCTTCAGAAACTCCCGCACCTTCTCTATTTCTTCTACCAGTGGTGGCTCACTTGGATCCTCTCCAAAAGGACCAACATTTCTTGGCTCGAAAAAGCACTGCTCTTCCCTTTTTTTGGCAATTGCTTTCCTCCTCCTCTTTCTTGCCTCACCCTATTCAGCAGGTGTGTATCTATCAGGTGATCGTGCAACCCGCTTAGCTCTTGTATGCTCCACTAAGATTTCATGTACCTTTAAAAAAAATCATATTACAATCTTATAAAAATAACTCAAACACTCACATGTTTTTCCTTTGTTTAATCTCTCACCTTTTCTGTCTCCTGCTCGCATCCCATGTTCTGTCCTTCCTGCACTTAAAATCATGCATGCTTATTTTTCATGTGCATTTTACAGCACCAAAGATATGTTATTAAATATATTACCTCATCGCTCGGTAATTGCATTGCCCTGGCTCGCTTACTTGCATCTGTTCCTAACACTTGTTTCTCAACAGTATCCACGTTTCTGATCAATTCCTTCACGAACTGGGTGTCCTCGACTTCCCAAAAATCTGCTGTTTTCACCTCACTAATTTCCTTAGCCTCTCCTTTTTCATTTTGTTTTTCTGTGTCACATATCTCGACGTCATCTCCTAGTTGTTTACCCTCATCACACTTGTCTGCCTCTGCCTCCTTTCTTTCCCCATCAGCTTCTTCCCCTTCTTTAACGTCTACCACTCCATCTTCCTTTTCTTCTCTATTCTCTTCACTCACATCCTCCTGTCTTTCATCACACATTTTCTGTTGAGTCTCGGCCCCAAATATGTTGAAATTTGGCATCTCCACTCCTTCTTCATTGTGCTCGGTCTCCACAAAATCTGCTTTTGCACTCTTTTCTTGTTGTTTGTGTTGTAACACAGCATCTATTGCCACTGCTTTGTCCATTCCCTGACCTGATGTTAGAGATATTTTCATGTATTGTGATCAATGTTTTATCTAGCCTCTTGGTAGTATTTATTGTGTATTTAATAGGCCTTAAATGTAAAAGACTACTAAGCTAAATTAGGAATGGGCCTCCTAAAAAGGAGAGCCCATATCATTGTAAAACCTACCATTCTAAGGAGGCTATAAATAGACCCCTTAGGAATGGCTAGGTTAAGCTTTCCTCCCTCAGAAATATTCCCTGCGCATAGAATAGAGCCTACAGAAGTTGTACGCTAACATTCTTCACCATCTTTGTGTAAACTTTCTGGCTATCAATGGAAAGCTTCTTCTACTCCTATTAATCAGATCTTATACATTATAGAGTAGAAATAGGGACCAACAATTGGTATCAGAGCCGAGCGTGTGACCGATTGAAGTTTCTGCAAATTTATCGATCGATTGAAGACAGAAGAAAACCCTTGCGCGAAACTCATCGACCAAGTGTTTGCTTGTTGAGCGATCTTCTGTTCTATTTTTGTTGTTATTTTTTCAGGAAAATGTTTACAGGAAAGGGTTTCTAGGCTTGGAAGGATTCATTCTGTGAAAAATCACATCCAGAAATTTGGCGTACAGGTTAAGCTGGAGTTGAGCGATACTGCTTCTTCGCGCAACTCCGAGGGAAGAAGAACAGGTTTAGCGCAAAAAGGACGCCTGCGCGATTCCAACTTCGCGCAACACTCCCTGCGCGATTTTTGGGCGTTTTAGGACTTAAGCGATACACTTGAGCGATTTTCTTTGCGCGAGCTTCTTTAAGTGTTGCGCGATTGAACCTGTGCTAATCAGTGTTGCGCGATTTGTAGTTGCGCTATTTGTATTTGTGCGACTTTCAGATTGTGCGAAAAACTTGAGTTCCTTGCGCGATCCATCCCGGGTGTGCGATCTACGAAGCGAGATTGTTCCTTGCGCGATCTTACAGGTGTTGCGCGAATCTCATTGTTGCGCGATCCAGGACCCTTGCGCGATCTGGACTCTCTTGCGCGATTCTCCCTTGCGTAATCTTACTTGGTGCGTGAAACCTGGAAGCAAAATAAAAGAGTAGCAAATTAATTTTTTTTAAAAAAAAAACAAAGGAAGGAGGGGCAAAATTGTCTTTTGTGACCTGCGGAATTTTACGGCTATCGTGTCCGCAGGTCGCCCGCGCAGGGGGGGTGCGAATTTTTCGTTTTTGAACTTCAAGCCGAAATCCCCTGTGCGCGAGAGCTCCCCTCTTCTCCTTCACCATTTAATCTTAAGGAAGGAGTGTTCCATATAAATAGGCTCTAAAGTTTCCAAGGGTTTTAGGTGTGGGATAAGTTAACAAGCTTACTTTTTCCTTCACTTGGACAAGTACATTTTTTCCCAAAACCCACCTCAAGTGCTAATTTTTAACCCATCTTCAAACCTTGAGGTCAAACTCCAAAACTAAAGGTCAACAGTTTTTCAAAGCTTCAAATAGTCAACCTTGAGTTTAAAAAATAAAAATTAAAAAAAAAAAAAAAATCTCAAGGTTAAGACTAAATTTTCTCAAAGTCAAAGCTACATTTCAAGGGTCACAAACTTGCAGAAATCTTCAATCAACCACACGTCAACGATCAATTTCCAACAGTCAATCATGACCACTCCCAATATTGCTGATAAAGTGACTGCCCTCTCTGCTAAAAACAAGAATGCAGACAGCGCTGTAAGCACTTCTAATCCTTTTGCTTATACTTGCTCTAGAACTGACCCACACGATAGAATTAAGGAGCTTGAGGAAAAATTTAATACGGGATTTAGTGTGTATAACAGACTACGTATCAATTCAGAGAAAATCATCACTAAGCTCACAACTGAAAATAAGAGACTTAGTGCTAGCGAAAAAGAACTGACAGAGAAGCTTAGAACAACTGAGAAAGAGAGAATTAGATTTTTTGGTGTCAATAATTTACTTATGGAAAGAAGGGGTGCTCTTTACACTAAGATTAAAGAACTCGAAGACCTGTTAGCCAAGAGGGACCAAACAGACCAGACTATTTTCCTTAACCAGCCTAAGGACACTCGTTTCTATAACGCCAAGGAGGGCCTGGGTTTGACCAATCCTCAGAACCTGAAAAAGGTTAACTGTAGACAACTCTATGATGTTAGATACATGAAAATAGGATTGACCAAACTCATGGCCTTCACTGGAGCTGAAGAAACGAATGCCCTCGAGGACGAAAAGAGAAAGACAAAGGCTGGTGTCG